AGTAACGTGAATTACTTTAGCAATAGAAAGAAATGAACTGCCGATACAACGGTGTGGATGGACCTCATAGACAGCACACTCAGTGAAAGAAGCCAGACCAAAGCCTACACATTCTATCATTCTAATTCTATGAAATTTCTACAAATAGCAAAACTAGAGAGAGAGAAGGAGGTCAGTGATTGCCCAGGGATCAGGGTGGGAGTGGGGACTGAGGGTAAGTGGGGAAAGGGGCTTCTGGGGGGTGACAAAAGTGCTCCCAAACTGGGCTATGGCAGTTGTCACACAAATGCATAATTTTCTACATGGCCAATTGTTAGATCAAACAAACCAAAATCCATTAAAAGCACTCGATAACATCCCATGCCCACACTTCATGGAAACTCTTAGTGAACAAGGGATGGAAAGAAACTTGTTACTGTATTATAAAGGATTTGTCAGAAACCAGTATCAACGATCACATTGAACTGTGAAAAACACCTCTGTTACGGAACAATGCCCTGGTGGTCAGAAATGCAATCAGAACAGAAAAAATGAGGCAGAAATATGAGAGAGAATGAGAAATTAATTGCCCATAACGTGACTGTCTCACTTAACACTCTAAATTCAGGGCTTATTTAAATCTAAATTAAAATTAAGGTAAATAAAAGATTCAGTTTGGGAACTCCCTGGCGGTCCAGTGGTTAGGACTCCGCCTTCACTGCCGAGGGCACAGGTTCAATCACTGGTTGGGAAACTAAGATCCCACAAGCCACGCAGTGTGTCCGAAAAAACAAAACAAAAAAAAGGATTCAGTTCCTCAGTTGCAACAGCCACAATTCAAGTGCTCAGCAGCCACAAGTGATTCGTGGCTAGGACTCGAGAGCATAGATCTAGAACAATCCCAACATCACAGAAAAGTCTACTGGACAGTGCCAGACGACGGAATCAGTGGAGCAATTATTAACGCTAAGAAGGGTTCAGAGAGAAATCGTTCAAATAGATAAAAATAAATGCGCAAAAAATCTACAGCTTCCCAGCAAGACCCAACTAGAAAAAATACAATGGAGAAATTACTCACAACAGAGAAAAAACAAACAAAAACTAATCAGAAACTTAGCAATATACGTGCAAGACCTATATGAATAAACTACAAAACTTTCCTAAGGTTTCACAAAAATGCCCTGGATAAACATGTTCCCAGATATATTTTGTATTCGAAACTGTCAGCTCTCCCAACCTGTATCTTTGCAAAGACCAATCCCTCCAGGCAATTCCTTTAGCATTTGATAAATTGATTCTAAAGATCATAAGGAACCACTGAGGCAGAGGCTGGTCAACTACAGCCCTGGGACTCAATCTGGCCCACCGCTTGTTTTTGTAAATAAAGTTTTATTGGCATAGAGCCACACCCATTCATTTCTGTCTTAATGCATTTGTGTTGCTATGCCAGAATTAAGCGTTGGGACAGAGACCGTATGGCCTGCTGACACTATATACTATCTGGCTCTTTACAAAACTTTGCTGGTGCAAATTTACCTGAAGGTAAGTCCCACAGGGAAAGA